CTTCACATCGATACCTATGATTCAAATGAACTGAGTGGGTCAGTTTGGGAAACCTGGTGACTACATAGGGTTTTTAATCCATAATAATAAAGTTATTAGGTTTCATCAGCAAACAATTAACCAAATTACTCATCCCCATTATCTTCTTTATTTCTTAAGGATCTACCCTAAGAATCATCTATCATTCACTCATCCATTCCTAAGGATTATCCTAAGGAATAGGCATGAAGTTCCATCGCTGCTAATGGCATAGCTGCCATTGTTATCTATTAGGTACAACTGTCAATATTATCATTTAGGCGCAACTGCTAGGATTATGACATTCCCTATTAGGTGCAGCTACCGATATTATCCTTTAGGAGCAGCTGTCAGGATTATGATATTCGTTATTAGGTGCAGCTTTCGGTATTATCCTTTAACCGCAACTGCTAGGATGTTTATAGTACATTGTAGTTCAAAAACATCTACAGGTTGATGCACAACTTCCAATGTTCATTTATATCATCTTTCATTTCTCATCATTCATCTACCCATCTTTACTCAATATCTTATAGGCATAAAATACATATACAGTTTAAATCAAATAAAACATGTATAGATCGTTCATCTAACATAGATATCAGGAACATAGATAATGAACATATATAGCATTTATTGTTATTAAATACTTCATATCTATGTGTAAGATGAAAGTAGCTATGCACTCAGCTGATATTCCAAGTCTAAATCTCAAATTGTAATTAATTCTGACAATAACTCCTCAAGAACTTATTATGTAAAATTCCCCCTTCCAAAATATTTTATAAATTTAATAAAATAGTTTGATTTAAAAACTCAAAATTTCTCTCTATTTATACTACTACCGAAGTTAGGATAAGATCAAAACAAAACTACTACGCGTCACTTAAATATTTCTTCCAATATGTTTCCTCCACCATTTGTCTCCACGTATGCCTTTTATTTAAATGAAATTTTACGATCACATATTTGAGCAATGCGTGTTATTTTTACTTAATAAAATACGTATGATCTTTAATAAAATATGTACGACCTTTCTTATATTTCTTCCACGTATGTTGGCTTGCAATTTACAAACTATAGTTATATTAATGATCCCTCGATTATTCTTGTATTAACACAATATATCCTTCAAGTTACACTATAGTCCGTTAACTATTTATTAATAAACTCATTATACCCTTTTAAATAAAATTTCATTCAAACTTATACTTAATAACAAACATCGTAAAATGTACCCGGTCAATTATTATTGAAAAACGGGTGTAACAGGAAAATTATTGTTTCACTACTTGGATTCACCCTTAAATGTATTTAGACCAAATACATCTTATATAGTTTGAGATTGTTACAATTTTCGTTAAGATTATTTATCCTAAATAATCATTTTACTTTTAACGTTTGTTTTAGCCATATTTATAAAGTTTTATTTTAAATAAATTTTTACACAAATATTATATTCACATAATATTTTTCAAATGTCCACGCATATAACATATAATCGAATAATTATTTTTCACTTATTCTTGAAAGGTTACAATTTTCAACTGACGTAAATACATATTTTATAGGATATGCCTAGCAAGAAATATGGGTGTTACAGTTATCTCCCCCTTAGGATGATTCCGTCCCGGAATCATTAACAAAATAGGGCTTGTATAATGACTTTGTACATTTCCTTTCTATCCTAGGTGGTAATTGTAACTCTTATGTCATTTTAAATGAGTATCTAACTCTAGGACTCCTTCACTGCTGGCGGTGCAAAATCTTGCACCCGCTCTTTATCGGATGTTGGACTTTCAATCGTAGACTTCAAGTTACAAAGTCGGTCCTCATTGGAGACTCATGCTTCTTCTTAAACATACTTAACTTAAGATAAAGTATTTACTTTGATTACCGTAACGGACCGTTGGGCCATGTTCTAATGACCTCTCATCGTATGATTCAACGCTTAGACTCAGGCCTTTTTAAGTCATATTCCAGAATGGATGATACCTTCCTTCATGTTCTAATGTGATATAACCACATTCTAGCATGTAGCACTTCTAGCTACAAGCTTCTTATACTAACGACGATCGCGATACTTTTATTGATCGCTTCGATTATCTTTTACTTCAATCTTTTGGGTGATATTTTGGTATGGATAGCTTGAGGAATTTTCAGGGTAGCAGCTAAGGATTTCGGGAAGTGAGTTTCAACATTCGAGGTGAGTCTCCTCATCATGCTTTTTTTCACAGCTTCCGGTTGTTTATTGTAGGTTTCTTTAAACACTTCAAATTTACCATCACCACATATATCCTCATTTTCCATAGGAATTGACGGTGAAATTTTAAGTTTTCTCCAGAATACATCTATTGATTCCAATGGAATACACTCACCTGCAATGAAATATCATTAATATATAAACAATCAATATATAACTTAAATTAAAAAAATAATTGACAAATGCACCCACCGGAGTTCAAGTATGTTGATAGCATGCAAGCACATGGTAAGCCACAACTATTTTGTAGTTTACAACCACAATTTGAAGAGTCAACTTGATGTACCCGTTGAAGTTCCTCTACAAGCATATCCAGAGCTTTAAGTGAAACATTACCCCGCAACAAATCGAAACACGAAAATTTGTGTTCGTGTTTGGAGACGATCATGCTCTTTTCAAAACTCTCATTTATCGCTGTAAGTTGAGACTTCACAAACCGATCAATAGCACCAACAAACTTGGCTAAAGAATAATTTTTTTCTTGTAAGTACTTCTTTAACGCTGAATGTTGGCCCTCAACTCTGCTGCTGGTTCGTTGTCCAAAGTTCAAATGTTTATCAATCCAAACAGAGACAAACATTTCCTTATACTTGTTTAACCAAACATCATCCAAATACTGTAAAACATCTGGAATCAAATAAATGTTATTTATGTATAAAAAACCTTCTAAATTTATAAACAAGTAGTTAAAAAATAAGTAGCATTGTACCTTGATGTTCTCTTAACATTGACTGCAGTTTTCTGTAGTTTTCAGTGTATGATGTCCATGTTGGAGACTCAACAAGTATACTCCACATAGCACGAAAGGATTTCCACTCAGCTTTCAATGGGATTAGCGCCTTACAATGCTTTCTAATATTTTCGGTAATGTGTCATCGACAAAGTAAGCGAGTTGCATAAGGGAAACTTGTTGGCATGCATTCACCAATGCCAATTCTCTGTCCGTCACTATAACGCGTGGTTGCATGCACTTTTCTAGTGTCAACCTTAGACACGTTAACACCCACTTATAGCTTTCCTCCTTTTCGTTAATGATAAAGGCAAAAGCAATGCTAAATGTCTTGTTGGTTGAAGTTACTCCAACAATCTCAACAAAAGGCATAGCATATTTGTTTGTTTTGTATGTTGCATCAATAATCAAAACGTGTGGAAATGCTTGCCATATATCTAACGACAGAGGATGAATGAAAAACAGGTTTTCCAATTCATTTGAAATATTATTTACGGAAAACTCGATAACAAATTTTTTATCATTCAAAATTCCCATAAGAACCTACATTGAAATATCGTTAATTAATAAAAATTCAATATATAAATTATATGTAAAATATACTTGTTGAAATATTATACCCGCATCGGAGTTTTTTCATCGTTCTGGGATGAGCGAAGCTTGTATTGTGCATTGTATATGGTTTTGAGTATAGAAACATTATTCTCATCATGCTCTTTTAGTATCGAGAGTATGTTGCGTGGTTCAACATTCTGACTTGTCAAGTCGGCCACCAACTTTTTTTCGTTTTCTTTCAACCGTCTAGTATAAGCATGTCCTTCCATATGTTGTGCAGGTGGATGGTTATGCTGATCACATTTCACTCTCAACGTCCAACCATCAAATTATTTTATATACGAACCTACCAATTTAAATGGACAATTGATTTTTTTTGTGACATAAGACACCACACCGTTTTCATTTGTCTTTGATCTTCTTCTCACGATGACATAACCAAGCGAAAATGCTTTGTTTTGGACCCATCCCATCAACTCATTTAGAGAATAGAACACCTAAAATTCAAATAATCTCTATTAATAACTAGTGAACATTACAATGATTAAAAAAATCAATATCATAATAAGTATCATACCCGTTTGGTGAAAAACGGTGATATCCCCATAAAGAATTCATTGCCTTCATTTAAGTTTTCCTCGTAAAAATTCGCCATCTTTTTCGTAAAACTATGAACATAACAAAAAAATTGTTAAAAAAATAAAATAATATAAAATAACTGATTATATATATATATATATATATATATATATATATATATATATATATATATATAAAGCAACCAAAAGGCAATAATTAAACATAAATATGTATTTGAGTTTTTCCAACAGCAACCGACGCATAACTTGAAATATCCACTTACAAAACTAATTTATTTTAAAAGGTTAGCCCATCAGTTATTGTACAGCCCATTTACCCAATTAAAACCCTAAAAACGTTAGAACATTTTCACTTTCATTTGCAGTTTGCTGTGAAAGAGCAACAACATCGCCCCCATCTGAAAGAGCAACAACGTCGCCTCATCTGCCGGAGCATAGCAACCGCCGAAGATCGATGTCACCGGAGCACACCAGAGCGTCGCCAACACAAAATACACCATCCATCGATTCATCTCATTAAATGGTTTCTCTTTTCCGGCAGCGAAGATCTAGGCGATGCTCACCTCGGCGATGATTACTCTCTCTCTCTCTCTCTCTCTACGTTTTATACTTTTCCGGCGGCAGTGCCACTAACCGTCGGCGATGATGACGGTGGTTGGACTGAAATAACCAAAATTATATTTTAAATCTTGAAATAATATGCAAAGTTAGAAATCTTACCTAAACTGTATTAGATGGTTAGATTAATGTTGATCTATCTTTTTATAATAAAATATAAGTTGTTATTAGCTATATCTGATATTAATGTGGTTTTATTATATATACAATTTACAAGATGTCAAACACAGGTTACTAAGTTTGAGACACAATTTACTAAGTTTGAATTTTTTGAGGTCTTCAATATACCTAGTAAATAGGGTGTTTTTTTTAGAAAAAATAGTTTGACTTTTAAAATGAGGTGTATATGGGTTGTTTATTTAGCAGCTACCTAAAAAGATTTGTCCATCAGTTCTTCTCGATCGCATTTACTTTATTCTTACACCATATCAGTTAATCTCTAAATCTTGATCTGCAAATTTATTGGAAGCAAATAGTTTTAAAAATAAAAAAGCTTGTAATTATCATAATCCGTAAAAAATAATTAAATTAAATTGCCCAAAATGGACAACTTAATTAGGCCTATTTCAGACAGTTTAATGTGTTTTTATTCAGTTAGCACATTTATCTGTTGAAAATAAATTTAACAATTCTATGTTCTAACTATGTTAATGATGCATATTCAGCCTATGTTTCTGGTAAGAAGTCAGGGATAATACTTGAAACTCCATGCTACTTGGGAGAGATTCTTGACATCAAACACGAGAAAAGGATCATCGATGATAGACTAAAAGAGCTTGAATATCACAATGCTAACGAAGAAGCAGTTAAAATGGCCATGAAAGATTTGGGTACGCAAAGGTAATCAACTACTTTTGCTTTTACGTTCAACTGTTTTGCTTAGAAAATTAAAAAGGTTTGTCCTATTATTATTGTAACATAAATTCATTCATCCACTGCAAAAAGCTGATTTGACTTTTATACCTCTCATATATATAGTAAATTACACGAATGGTCCCTATGGTTTAGGGTAATTTACGTGTTTGGTTCTTAACTTATTTTTTTAACTCAGAAGGTCCCTACCGTTTGTTTTTGTTACGCGCTTGGTCCCTATCTGACCTAAAAAGACTATTATGCTTTTGATTTTTTTAATTTATTTAAATGAACACTCCCCTAATCTCATCCCCTCACCTTACCTCACCTACCCCATTATTTTTTTTCTCTTTAAATAATAGTCTTTTTAGATAAGATAGGGACCAACCGTGTAACAAAAATAAACAGTAGGGATCAAACGCGTAACAAAAACAAACCATAGGGACCTTCCGAGTTAAAAAAATAAGTTAGGAACCAAACACGCAAATTACCCCAAACCATAGGGACCATTCGTGTAATTTACTCATATATATATATATATATATATATATATATATATATATATATATATATATATATATATATATATATATATATATATATATATATATATACTTTTTTGTATTTTTAACTTTTGCAACTTCTTTTCTAAATTTTAAGATTTTTGCCACATCTTTTTTATATTTTAGTGTTTAAACTTCTCATCTTCATAGTTTGACCATTTTATTTTACTTCTTTATAATTTTACCACTAAAGTTTTAACAAACTTTTCATTTTTATAATTTTTTGCCACTTTATTTTTATGTTTTTATATTTTTGCAACTGAACTTTTACTTTTTCTTATTTACAACTATTTTTCTTTATTTTTTATCATTTTCGTCTACAATATTCTTTTATTATTTTTTTCATTCTTAGGAATTTCCATCAAACATATTCTTCTACCCTTCATTTTTTCTAAAAAGCATAACCCGTGCAAAGCACGAGCCTTTTCCTAGTTTGAATTAAATAGAGAATACATGTATAAAAGTCAAACCAGATCAAAGATATAAGTGGGAATATTACTTTGCTATTGTATACATATTAATTTTAAATCTAGGGTGAGTCATTGTGGATGGCCAAATACATATGTTTTTACCAAGGCATTAGGGGAAATGGTTCTTCAACAATTTAAAGGAGACATTCCGTTGGTTATTTTCCGTCCAACAATCATCAGTAGTACCTACAAAGAGCCCTTCCCGGGTGGGTCGAAGGTATTAGGTAACTGATTCTTTGTTTTTGTCTAACAAGCAGATGGTTTATGATATGAAGATTGAACCCAGAAAAACATAATTTCTATTTATAAAAATCACAGGACCATCGATAGCTTTATTGTTGGCTATGGAAAAGGCAGGTTAAGGTGTTTCCCTGCGGATCTTGAATGCGTGTTTGATGTGGTGAGATTTCCGGAGCATTTTATTCCAATTTAATGTTCATTTGGAAACCATTTTGTTTGAATGATAATAACTTAGAGTAAACATTGGTAGGTACCGGATGACATGGTGGTGAATGCTATGATCGCTGCAATCATGGCTAATGCAGATCAAACTTCTTCTATAACAATTTATCATATTGGATCCTCGGTGTCAAATCCTTTGAAGTACACCATGATACAAAAATGTGCTTACATGTATTTTACTCAACATCCATGGACTAACAACGATGGGAAAGCAGTTATAGTTGGCGAGTGTAGAGTGTTGAAATCAATGGCTAGCTTCCATAGATATATCACTCTACGTTACTTGCTTCCCCTGCAAGTTTATCTTATTTAACTATTCTTTCTCTAACTTTTTGTCACTTCAATTCTACTTTTGTTATTTTTGTATGTTAAGAAATTAATCTCACTCCCTAGGTACTAAAGTTGTGAATGTAATACTCTGCCAAGCGTTTGCGGGTACATGCAAGAATATTGAACGAAAGATCAACTTGGTACTACGGCTAGTGAAGCTTTACCAACCATATTTGTTCTCGACAAGTTTGTAAGCATTATATATATATTAGTTCCCATCTTAATGAGAATTGGTTAATCTTTTCACATGTTTAGGTTTACGAACTCATTAAATTTGTGATAGGTACGATGATATAAATACTGAAAAGTTGCGTAACATGGTGAGGGAGAGTAAACATGATGATGTTGCCTTCTACTTCGACCCAAAGATAATTGATTGGGAAGACTACTTCCTGCATACACACATTCCTGGAGTGGTAAGATATGAATTCAAATGATCAAGAGCTCACATAGACGGGTATAGATCATGCATGTTCCTATCTTTTCAATTACATTAATAAGTAATAACTATTGTTTGTATGAATAATCATTGTATCAATTCTATCAAGTTGAAAAACATTATTAAGTCACTTGGTTGATGCATAAAACTGTTGTTGCATTCTATAATTCATGTTTGATATTAAATTTATTAGCTATTCTCCTAAATTTTTTTTCTTTCTACTCATCCTCATATCATGCTTATAACATTTAATAAAATTAATAATATCCCGATTCTAATAAATGAATAAGTTTATTCTTATATTGACAAATGTCATTATATTATAACTCATCATTAATATTATATGTCCCATATAATGCTACTTGTCAAGATATTAATTATCTATTTCAAATTTTAAATTTCTCACCTTAATTACATTAGAATTTAATTCAACATTTAAAAATTTTCACTTTAATTGTATTAAATTAATAACATTAGATTAACAAATAAAATAAAATTGATCCAAATTATAAAATGGTATAACTTCACGTATTTATTTAAATCAACGATTATAATTTGATATAACTAAAAAATATCTTTTAAATACAATTTTTTTTAAAGTAATTGATTAATAAATTTGATTTTTTAATATGAAAATTTAATTAATTTTATAACAGCGGTTCTTACGGATTAAAAACTAGTTTTTTAATATGAGTATAAGGATAGGTAGGCATCACTAAATATATATCTTTTATGACACATATGATATTAAAAGATTGTCTTGAAAATGTCTTCTTAAATCTTCAACTAATAATATCTTGGCCGCAATGTTTGAGAAGTAATTAATAAGCTGTTGCACAATTTTAATTTAAGCATCCGTGCGAGTGTTTTTTTTTGACCGGTGGATCATCGGCCAGAAGCATTTAAGATTCAAGCCTAAAGCAACTTCAATTTAAGGTGCTTAAATTCTAAATCATCACCAATAGGCCATGTTGGTTGTACATGAAGGCTATGTATTATTTGGAAAGAATAAATGATTTCCACGCTAGATAATAGCATAATAATATACATGCAACAACATAAAACAAATAAATAGTCATCTATTTAGTGGGAAGAAATTGAGAAATATACTAGATGGGTAATTTTTTCTGTCAAATCAGAAAGATTGAAATCGTGAAACTAAAGGATAGATATAACTTTGAAACTGAAGTGTAGATTGTTATAACATAAACAAACATTGACTAAAGTTAAACCAAGAATACATCTTAATAATATATTAAAATTAAAGTTTAAGATATAAACCAAAACAATTTTAAACATATACTGTGTTTTATGATTTCAAGTTCTTAAAATGTAAAGGTACTTTTATACTTACAACATTATATCATATAAGGATACAAACCTCGAAAGAAAACAACATTAAAAATTATTCAAACAAATCGTCAAATAAAAATAATATTAAATTACAAAATTGAATTAACCATAAAGTGTTATTTTTAAAACTTAGGATAATGTAGTTCAAAATGGTTGTTTATTTTAGAGCAAGTTTGTTATATTTAATTGGTTTTAACTTTATAAAAAATGTTGGTTATACTTGGAACTAGAAAAATATCATGATGTTATATTAAGTAAATTACATTTTTATTCTACGTGATTTTATCATCTTGGTTCAACTTTTGAAAAACTGACGGGGACCCATCTCCGCAGTTTGGAGAAATTACACTTGTAGTCCTTGATCCAACTAAAAAAATAATTTTATCTATTTCAATTATATATATATATATATATATATATATATATATATATATATATATATATATATATATATATATATATATATATATATATATATATATATATATATATAGGGTTAGGTTCATGTGAGACGGCCTAATTTTGTGAGACCGTGAGACGCATTTTTTTATTTTTTTAATTTTTAAAAATTTTTTTTTAGTTAATTCAAGTTCCGAAAATAATACTTAAAAAAAGAATTTTTTGATTTTTCCATTTATTTTGCATTTTAAAATTATTTTTAGAATATGTACAGTGTAATATTCTATTTAAAATATTTCACTTATTTAAAAAAAAATAGGATTTTTTTTTAGTTAATTCAAGTTCCGAAAATAATATTTAAAAAAAGAATTTTTAGATTTTTCTATTTATTTTGCATTTTAAAATTATTTTTTAGAATATGTCAGTATAATATTCTATTTAGAATATTTCACGTATTTTTCAAAAAAAAAAACGGGATTTTTTATTTTTATTTTTATTTTTTTAGTTAATTCAAATTCCGAAAATAATATTTAAAAAAATAAATTTTTGGATTTTTCCATTTATTTTGCATTTTAAAATTCTTTTTAGATTTGGTCTTACGGTCTCACAAAATTAGAATGGTCTCAAATGAACCTAAAACTATATATATATATATATATATATATATATATATATATATATATATATATATATATATATATATATATATATATATATATATATATATATATAACTCCAACGGACCTCTAAAATATCTTTTTAAAAATCATTTTACTTCGATTAACTTTCAAAAATCACACCATTTTTGTAATGGTTCTTTTTTAAAATCAAATATAGAGGCCAAATATGAAACGCTCTAAAAATCATCATTTCAAAGATCGGATGGAATGTAATCACTAAAATAGTATTAATTAATCATAATTTTGATGTTTATGGACTATGGTTGGAGTAGCAGTAATCTCTCTATTCTAATAAAAAAAATAGGTTTATTCTTTTTTTTTTTTATCATGTTTTATCTTGTTAGGTCTCTTAATTTATTTCATGCTTGTTATCAATTTATTGATATTAAATTTCAAATTTCACACTCTAATTACATTAAATTAATAACATTAAAAATGAAATTAATACAAATTATAAGGTCACATATTTATTGTATCTATTTAAATTAATGATAATAACTTTATATAACTAAAAAATATGTTTTAATTAATAATTTATTTAAAATAACTGATTCACAATTTTAAGCTTTTACTGTGAAAGTTTAATTAATTTAATAATCGTGATTGTCACTGATTATAAACTAATTAATATATATAATACAAAATAAATAGGGTGTATTTTTAACACACACCACCCCTAGAGCCGATCCACATCGTCTTCTTAGGTTTTGGAGAGTGGTTGTGAGTGAGTTATGATTGAAGAAGAGGTTATGTCACTATTTAACCATTCCACAACTAATCCATTAGGTTGTGGAAATGATATTCACTAGTGGTTAGGTTGTGAAGAGGCAAAAAGAAAGAAAGAGAAAAAAAGAAAATATGCGGGAAAGAAAACTAAACCAATAATATCAAGCATCTTTATCCGTCTTCACAACTACTCCAAACCAAGCCACCGACCATTATGGTGGTATTCACGCGTCCCTCGGTCAGATGCATCAGCTTCACGCATCTTCTTCTATGTCCACTACGAACAACCTTATCATACCTCTGTTTCATCACCGCCCCCTCCCCTTTATCTACGAGCATCAAATCAAAATCTTCATCTAAAACGACTAGAAGCGGTTAATACATATGTAACATCCATAAATTTTACGCTAAATCTAAACTTTTTCAATCATAAATAAAATCAAACAACGTTTGTTTACAAAAATATTTTCAAATCAATATCCATCAGAGTGTCCCAAAATCATAACATAAGGATGAGGAGCGGTACGGTCACACCTTCGCCTTGCCATGATCTCCTGAAGTACTTGAAACAATAAACTGAAAACTATAAGCCTGAGGGCTTAGTGAGCTACCCCCAAAATACCAATATCATACTGACAATACCATATCAGTAATAATCAATCAATCAACATGTATACTGGGCCATCAGCCTTACTGGACCGCCCTACCGGGCCTATAGTCTGTCTGGATCTATCTCGAGCCTTCAGCTTGACTGGTCCACCATGTGGTCCTACAGTCTCCCCGGACCGCTCATAGGGTATGTTGGCCTTCAGCATAAAGCATGACCGCCTCAACCCAACCAACAAGCAAATAACCTTGTGTGTATAACTATCATATACAAACATCAAACAAATCTATCTCACTGATCACCAATCATAGAATTCTCCTGTAACTAGAGTACCAACCTAGCAGGTCACTAATATACCAATCCCTACGGATCATAAGAGAATAACATACTATTTACCCTGATTCCGATCTAACAGATCATAACCATATGTAGCATACCATATCAATAATAACTAAAGGGCCAACCTTGGTGCTGTAGACCGTATCGATATAGTGAGGATAAGTCACCTCGCAGATGTCGACTCGGAAGGTAAACTCCAACTCTCGGATCACTTGACACAGGCTTCACCACATATCATAGTACAATATACTCATAAGTCCTTAACCTTATAAGGTACTCCATAACCCACTAGTCAACCCCTGATCAAAGTCAAAGTCCTCAGTCAGGGTCAACAATCCATGTTGACCTCGACTCGCCGAGTACCCTCGGCTACTCACCGAGTTCCTTGAAGCACATTCCAACTCGACGAGTCATCGAGGTGACTCATCGAGTTCCTTCGATTCTCGATTAAACTTTAAGCCCACTCGTCGAGTTTCCTCCTTGCAACTCGACGGATACACATGCATACGTATCCTGGAGAAAACTCATCTGACTCGCTGAGTTGTCTTCAACTTGTCGAGTCTATGACAATCATCATCGGACTCGCCGAGTTGTTCCTCCAACTCGTCGAGTTCACAGGCATCTTCATGTGACTCGCCCAGTCAACCTTGCGACTCGCTGAGTCCATTCAGTCCTTTTTCCATACAGACCTATTTTGAGCCACGCGGCGGCTCCAAATCACAGATCCAAGCTTCTAGGGCATGCTGTTCACGTAAAGTTGCAAACTTTATGTGAATACATTGTAACATCCCAAAATTCAAGCCCGAATATTTCTTTTTTGAATTAATAACTGTGACATCCCCAAAATCACGGCCAGAAAATACCGATTTTGTTTATGCTTTATAAAAATCAGAGTACTTCATTTTATAAAAAGGTTGCGGAATTTGTTCCCAGAAAAACACGATAAATACGTTATTAAAACATTTTCGAAGAAACGCATTTTTATTCATCTTAAAACATTTGGGATGTCATCGTTAATACAGAAACATAAGCATAAACAGAACTTACATTTATTTACACTAGT